ATACTCGGTAAATCAGATATTTCCGTTTATTGGGAAAAATTCGATTTTATGATTTAAAGTTTTTATGATGTGTTAAATTTTGTGTATTAAAAAATGTAACTTGTGAATTAAATAAGTAAATTTAAATTGAATATTTTAGATATTTTTTTCTTATTTTAATTAGTTTGGTTTTAATAACTAAGTAAAGAATAAATATAAATATAATCAGGCTTTATGATTAACTTAATGAGTAAAATCTTTGATAGCTAATTAATTTACCTTGAATTTTATTGCACTTTGATATCACCTGGTCCTATTTATATCCCTTTACTTGTCCTCCCCTCACATTTTCCACTCTCATCAATTGTTGTTTTCAATTGTCTAATTGAAAGTTAAATAAATTTTTGGTAACTTGTGCAGAAATTTTGTGCTGCTGCAGCAGAGTCCACAATCCAGTGGGAATTACAACGGAAGCAAAAGGAAATGGCTGCATAAGTTGGGGTTAATTTCTGTTTGCTGATATTTGTTGGATTGCCAAAACTATTTGCCAAAATGGTCGAAATTTAATTGCACAATTAATTCAGTAGATAAATGTAAATAAATGGAAAATTAAAGGGGAAAAAATAGGTGGTAATGGGTTTGGTTATGTGATGGTAATAAGTGAAAAATAAAGAAAAAGAGGAATATGGTTGTTTGAAATTAAGTTGGTAATAGGGAGAAAATTGGGTGGCAATGCGCTAGGTAATCTATGAGTAATATATGGAAGGGGATGTGATGCTAATTGGGGAGTTATTTACTAGGTCAGCAGCTTCACTTACACACACAATCTTAACCGCAAATAGAAACATTAGGCCTACACACACCCCCTACCCCACCTCCCCCACTGTTATCAACCCTCTTTCTCCTCCCTCCTTTCATAGACCTCCTCAATATTTACTCTATGTACTTGCAAAAGAAATTGTACTAATGGAATTATTTCATTTTGGAGAGCAGAGCAACAGAGACAGAAGAAAAGAAAGAGAGAGAGGGGGAATTGGGAATGGGAAATGGGGGTGTGCGTTGCGTCTCGTTTTGTTTTGTTTGTCGTTTTGATTTACTTTTGGTTTTCGCTTTTTTTCCCCTGGTTCTGATATTTTTTTATATTTCTTTGCTGTGCAAATAACTCGCAATGTTCCACGTTTCATCTGCTTCTCTCCTTTCTTCTTTCTCTGTCTCCAAAGTCGCGACTGCACAAATCAAAGTAGAAAAGTCAGAGGGAAATGGGAAAGAAGATGGGTGCACATAGAAAAGTGTTCCTGAAATGTCTCAATATTGTTTTTAAAATGATTTTTGATCAAAATGTGCATAGTTTTTAGCACAGTCGAATATTAAGATTTTGTCAACGTTAAATAAAATATGAAATAAAAATTGAAAATATTGAAGTACTTTTCAAAATTAAAATACTTGAAAAATAATAGTACAAAACTTATTTATACATTATAATATCTGACAAATAATACTTTGATATTTTCGCCGTGTAGCAAGAAACGAGAGAAAGCCCAAACCTCAAGCCCAATGCCAACTTCCTCTTCGCCCCCTTTCTCCCTACTTTCACCTCCCGCAGTATCAACCCCACCCACTTCCTCTGATGCAGTCTCTGCCGGCGTCGAAACTTTTTTGTTTTCCTTTGGGGCGGTTCAAATAATTTTTTGACTGATTGAATTATTAATAAAATTGATCGAAATGCAAAGAGAGCCGCTGACGACAACGAACGATGCTGGTCAGCAAACAAAAAATAAAATAAAATAAAATAGCTGAACGGAAATTCATATCACAGTTTTCGATTTTTCTTCTTTGCTTTTCTTATTTGTTGTTATTATTTGATTGAATTACTTTAAAGCAAGTGCTGTGGGGAATTTGCCTCTGTCAACTTGTCGCCCACATAAGTATGCTACATACATATGAATCAAGAAAGAAAGTTGCCGAGGGTGGTGAATTGTGTTGTGTAGGTCACATTTAATTAACACAAATTTCCATTAATATGCATTAATTACACCTGACTTCATTTTGTCGAACCTGGCGGCACATCTGTGTGTTATTCCAAACAGGACATCAATTGTGCCTGACATTTGATCAGGTAACATAAGTTTCCATCAAAATGATGGGCATTTAATTATATCATTTTGTGGTTGGCTTTAATTGAATTATCATACTGCGAGTAGTACAATATATAAAAGCACTTAAAAAAAGGACTACGAAAACTTTGAAAATAAATACAGCATCAGATTTTCCGCTGAATACTAGTAGTTTATTTATTATGGTTAAAAAAGAGCTAATATTTTGTATTCAACACTTTTTTAATGTTGCATTTGTAAATGAAATAATGTAAAATATAGAAAAGATTATAATATGAAAATTTAAATCTTCTTTATTCAAGTATTTAATTTAAGAGCTGCTTACAATCCTAGCAAACTGAATTAAATTACATGATGAAAAATATGAATATGATTTTTTTTCGACTTATTTTTCGCGGTCGGTACTTTTCATTTCTCTTTTTTTTTCGCTGCCATAGCCGGAATGCATTAAATATTTACAGGATATTTTTAAAATTAAATAATAAAAAACCAGGTTTACTCTCGCACTCGACCCCCCTTTGCCTCTTCCGCCAACCTCAGCGGCAACCCCATTTTCTGGTCCAAACCCCTCAGTTCCCCCGTTGCCAACCAATTGCCTTTTTATTAATTAATTTATTTGGTGTTGTTGTTTTTTTTTTTTTTTTTGACTGTTTTCACCGACGATGTGGCATGTGCTTCACAAATTGATGTCCTGGAATTTCATTTCCATTTTATTACGGATAAGTTTTATTTTATTTTAGATTTGTATGTACTCAAACTATTTTAAAACACCTAAATTTATAATTTAAACTATTTTACATGATTCAGATTATGTGTTTTAAATTAATTATGTTAGATTACTTCATAGTCAATTGTTAAATGAACATGAATGAAAAAAACATATTGTTAGAAAAATTTTGTTATTTGCCATATCTATATACTAAATACTATCTATTATTTATATTTAATTATTATTTAAAATGGTTTTTATAAAGAACAGATGAGGTTAACAATGTAAATAATTAAATATTCAAGCAATACATATTTTTTCAAATTTAGAGTATCCCCGAGTCAAACAATTTTTACACCATAAAATCTGAACTTGTTTTCATTTTGTGATTTCATTTTGATTCATAAGCTTTTTTGGTTGCTCACTATTTGTTGATCTCTTTCTGGTTTGTTGTAACTGTTATTTATATTAAATATTTATTTTGTAATTTTTATTTAATTTGCAATCTATAATTGCAATTTGATTGAGTTTTTTCATACAGTTAAAAAGCGTTGTCTACATTTTACGCTTCCCTTTTTGTGCACGTAGTTGAGTGTGTGTGTGTGTGTGTGTGTGTGTATGGGGTTAAATTGGCACTTCAGTTAACTGTTCCACCTGTTCGTCCACCCCTCGCTTAACAATCAAAATTAAAATGAGTGGCTTATTAAAATTTTAACGCTCAAAAAGCATTTTTACTCATCATTTTTTTTTGTTCCTTCCCAGTCCGGAAAATATGTAAAATTGGGTAGCTGTGGTGCAAAGGCGAATAAAGCGAGGGAAGGCTACTTTGATGTATTTTCATATTCCACTGAGATTCGCAAAAATACGCAGGCTGGAGAAAGTGACGGGGAAAGGGAGAAAGTAGACAGAGGGAGTGTTGTGGTGGTGCCACAACGACGAAAAGGACGCCACTCTGTTTGGTCAGCAGCCAATCTCTCTGACATTTAAAACGCTGATTGATTTTACTTACAATTATTCTTTATTTCACCCTCCCCCCCTCCTCCTTTGGCGTCCTTTATTTTAATTACATTGATTTTGGCTAAACGCCGCAATTGTATTTGCCCCCTCATCGTATTTCCAGCTCTATTTGCACATCATTAAAATTGTAAAATTATTAAAGTGGCAAAACAAAAACTAAGACAAACAGAAATTGCCACCGAGTCAGGATTTTATTGGGGTAGTGGTGGGTTTATAAGCTTATTTTGTCGGTGGGGGATGTTTTCTGCGATAATCTATTTTTTTTTTAACTGGTGGGAATATATTTAAGTATGATAAAATGTAATTAAAAGGGAAGAACGAATATTAACGAATTCAAGTGATTTCATTGGGTTTTTCAAAATGTATTATTGTTGCTTCAAACATCATTAAAAATAATAGCCTTTTTTTAGATAAATATTATTATTTATATTTTTTAGACTACAATGTTCTACTTTACAGTGCGAAGTCTGCAGATCCATTTCACTCTACCTTATCCCTTCTCAAAGCATCCATTTCCATTTATTGCCATCCATCAGCAATCGTCCTGAGCCGCATCCTTGTACCCCCTCCTGCTATTTTTGTCTTGAAAGCTGGGGAAAGGCGTTTTAAAATATTCAATTGGCTGCTGCTCATTATTTGTTAAGTGGCTTAATGAAAGCGGTCGCCCCATCCCCGTGTTTTCCCGACTTTCCCTCTTTTCCTGACCAGTGGCTTTAATTAAATCGCATTTTTTAATGTGTTTGCATAACTTTTGCCTGCACTCAACCAAAATTACGTTTCGTTTTTAGAGCTTATGTTGGTATTAAGAAAATAAAACTATTTTCTTATATTCAATTCCATAAATTTACACATGTTGATCTGGGTTTTAATCTTGATTTGAAATTAGGGTTCAAATGCATAAAACCTGGAAACAAAATTAAAAAATATTTTTTTGGAATTAGTTTATAAAATTTCTACATATTATATATACCTCGTAGGGCACGACATCCAGTTTGCGATCCACTTCGAATTGAAAAAGCTTGGTGAGGAAAATAAAGATGTTGTTTTTTTTTCCGATCGAACTTATAATTCCCAACTCATTATTCTGGTCGTTGAATGTTACGTTGAAGGATTGAATATATACGATATGATATTTAACTTTTTGGCTGATCACTAACCTTTGTTTCCTCCTCATTTTGCAGATAAACTGGCCAGCTGCTTTGTGTGCAAGGCGGAGGCGTGTCCACGGACCCGGCCTCTAAAGAAGGGGCGTGGCCAGCAGTACGGCATTCCCGACGAGACGATTCCGGCGGGGGCGCGTGTCTGCAATAGCTGTCAATGCAAATCGGTGCGCAGCCGGTATCCCAACTGTCCGCTGCCCACATGTCCGAATCCCAAGGATCGGGCCCAGCGCCTGCGGAACATTCCCTCCCGACTCTTCGAATTGGCGCCGGAGGTGCGCGATCCGGTGATGGCCGAATTCCAAATACCGCCGCATGCCACACGTTGCTGTTCGGCCTGCCTAATGCGCATCCGCCGCAAGCTGGATCCGCAGCTGAATCTCACGGACGGCTCCAGTGGCGGAGCGGGCAGCGGCAGTGGCGGCGACGAGACGGATGTCAGCACCTCGTCGTGCGATGAACGGGAGCCGGGTGGCTCGGATACGGCATCCGTGGAGAGTCCGGAGAATCTGCAGCGGCACAAGTCCCTCACGCTGGTCAAGCAGCAGCAGCAACAACAGCAGCAGCAGCACCAACAGCAACTACAACTGCATCAGCAACTGCATCAGCAACAGCAGCAGCAGCAACAGCAGCACCAGCAGCAGCAGCAATCAACGGGTCAGCTATCGCAGCCCCAGCCACCGCCAGCTCCGCAACAGAAACCATCGACTCCGCGAGGAGACAACACGCCACTGATTATCACACCCACCCGGATGAGCAGCAAGGCGGGATCGGCGGGAGTGGCACAGCCGCAGGCTGGTGACAATGATCGCCTGCTGCCTCCCGCCGCTGGACAAGCACCGAAGAAGCAGAAGACCAGCGAGGAGTATGATTCCTCGGCCACGGAAACGGCGGATGAGGAGAACGAGAACTCGCCGGCCAATCGCCAGAGTCCCAAGGTCCTGTTCCATGGCCATGGACATGGGCATGTGGGTCATGCCAATAATGTGTCGGGTCTGCAGCCGCCGGTGGCCAATATGGTGGCGGGTGGTGGTGCTAGTGGAGTTGGAGGACCAGGAGGAGCACTACCCGGTCAGCAGGTCAACGGACCGATTAGTATGCGACGCGAGGCAGTCAACAATGTCCAGGATTGTGTGTTCTCGGTGATTGAGCGTTCGCTGAAGAACAAGGGGGCGCAACTCAAAGGAGGCCAGGGTCAGCAGCAGGGTCAGGGACAGAATCAGGGGCAGACCCAAGGACAAAGCCAATCCCCATCCCAACAACAACAGCAACAGCAGCAGCAACAACAACAACAACAACAACAACAGCAATCCGCTAATAATCTGGAGCGCAAAGAGCTGACTATTGTGAGAGAATATCGCCAGGATCCGGGCATTCTCAAGCAGCAGTCGGTCGGACAACAACAGCAGGGAGCACCGCCATCCTCAGGAGCTGGCAGCTTGCCGCATGGCACCTCCGTGCAGAAGCTACCATCCCGGTCATCTGTGGTGCCCCAACCGCCGCAGGCTCACCCAATGCCACCCACCAGCTCAGGAAACACCGGCGGCAGTGGGAGCAACAATGGAACTAGCGATAGTCTGGCCACCTTGTCGGTGGTTAACTCTCACTTGGGCGTGGGCGTTGGTGTGGGCGTGGTGCCACTTGGCCATCCCGGACTGATGGCCCATGCTGCATCCGCTGGAGGAGTTGGTGTGGACAAGGCCACCATTACACCAGTTGTGAAGAGCTCGAGCGGCTCGTCGAAGAGTGGTGGCGCGTCCACTCACTCAACGCCCACGCCGCCGGAGACCATAATCTACAATGTGCCAGCGGCGCATCCGCAACGCGGAATTGCACCGCCGCCGCAGCATTCGGTGCATCCTGTCCATCCGTCGCACGCCCAGCATCCGGCCCATCCGCAGCACCCGTCCCATGGCCAGCATCCGCAGCACTCGCAGCTGCAGGTTCCGGAACCCGAACCGCAGACCCTGGATCTGAGCATCAAGAAGACACCGCGCGATGGCCATTCGCCGCACACCGGCGGAGCCGGCGGATCGGGTGGATCGGGGGGATCTGTTGGACCCTCGTCCTCGGATCGTCACCATATCCCACAGCCACCGAGCATGTCGATGAAGCACATGGTTCGCTCCACGAGCATGTATCGTGGCGATACCGTGACCGTGCCTTCGCTGGCAGTGCCCAACTCGTATCTGTATCCCACGACGACGCACGGCGTCCTCAAGACGACCGGTGGCGTGGGCGTGGTGCCCGGCGTGCTGCCTGGCGTTCCTGGCGGTCCCCTTTATCTGCAACCAGTCCCAGTGCCCGTGCCCATTTCCATCTCCGGGCAGGGACAGTTGCCGCCGAGAGCTGGACAACCGCCGCCAGCGCAGCCGCCATCCGGCAGAGGAGTGGCCAAGGCGCCGCCCAAGCTGAGTCCCCAACAGGCCCATCACCTGCATCCCAGCCACGGACACTCGCCGTCGCAGCAACAGCAACAGCAGCAGCAACAACTGCAGCAGCAGCAACAGGCGTCCGCCCAGCAGCAATTGCTGGTGAAGAGCGGCTCCATCACACATGGAACGCCGGCGAACAGTGCCCAACAGCAGATAATCGTGCATGCAGCAGCGGCGGCCGCAGCTGCGGCTGCCTCATCCTCCTCGCTCCTGAGTCCCAAGTTCGAGGGCCTGGTCAGGCAGACGACGCCCGAGGGTGTCGGTTCGGGAGCCGGCGGACCGGGCGGACCCGGTGGCAGTGGCAAGCACGGATCGATAACGCAGGGCACACCGCTGCACCTGCCGCCGCATCATTTGGAGAGCAAGCGGGCCTACGAGTTCTACAAGAGCTCCCAGCGGCACAGTCCCGCCCAGCAGCCGGGTGGCAATCAGCAGTTGCCCCCGCCGCCCCAGCAATCCTCACCCCAGGCGCCACCGCCCCAGGGTTATGGCGTGGGCGTTGGTGTGGGTGTGGGCGTGGGCGTGGGCTCACCGTACGCCCGATCCTCCTTTGGCGGTGTGGTGGAACAGACGCCGGTGCTGAGTACACGCCAGATAGTGATGCACGACTACATCACCTCGCAGCAAATGCAGGGGCAGCAGCAACAGCAGCAGCAGCAGCAACAGCGCAACATGTCCCGCGGCAGCAGTGCCAGTGGCGGCGGCGGAGGAGGTGGCTCGGACAAGGAGTCACCATCGCCGCGGAACAGTGTGGGCAGTGCCGGTGGATTCGCCTACGGCGGGGATAAGGATCCGGCGCCCAGAGGTCGACAGGACTACTCCAGTCGCGCATCGCCAGCGGATCATGCCAACAGGTGGGTGGAAATGCAATTTATTGGGTGTCCTCTTGGGCAATATGGACGACTCGTTAGGAATAGCTTTTGTTTTCCAATTTGTATGTTTGTGTTATGATAATTAATATGATTGTTGATTTAATTCAATTTTATTTAAGTTCAAATAACACATTTAATTGAGCTCTGCATTTTGTTACTAAAGTCAGATGTAAATTTGTATCTATTTAGCCTGCGCTTTAAATATTTTCTGAATACCGGCGAACATATTTATAATTTGTTATGATAATATGACTTAATTAAATTTTATTTAGGTTCAAAAAACACATTGGAACCAAACATTTAATTGAGCTCTGCATTTTGTTAATACAAACAGTGGTAAATTTGTATCTATTTAGCCTCCGCTTTAAATACTTTCTGAATACAGCGGAACATATCGATAAGAGCTGTATTATTTTTGCATTGGTCAAGAGGCCTGGAACTATCAGTCGCTACGTAGCGACTCTGTTCTATGTATTTGTGCAGTGGGTCAGCTTAAATGGTCTTGACCTATTTTTACCTATTACGGTAAAGGCTCAAAGCAGTGGAGCTTTCACTCTTAATTATTATAGTAATAATCTATAATCAAGATAAAATGTAAGGGAAAGGGAATCTTCAAATCAAAATGTCAGTGAATTTAAAAAAAATACATGGGGAAACAACCGAAAGTTTTAGAATCGGTATTTAGTTGTTTTAGATATCATATCATTTGCATATGTATGTGGACCGCAACCAACTAAAGTTATACTGCAACGATGGAGCACTGTTTATTTTTATCCATACATGATTATGGCAATTATGGTGTGCATTAATTCCTGCATACGCAACTGCGTCATAAATTCACATTCGTTTGAGCTGGTCAGTTCATCTGCCGACTTTGGCTGAAATCATGTTAAATGTAATCCTGTAAACAGGAGGGACGCTGTGTAAATGAGGGCAATTCGGAAAGAGTCGTGTCCGAGAGCAGAAGCCTTGACTAAAAGCTCCCGGGGGAATGTGAAACTTCAGATTTCATCGCCCACGTTTGGAAAATATTTTCAAAAGCTAACAAGTGCTATACTCGCATTCAAAATTAAGAAGTTCATTTTAATTAAATACAGAGAAAATGCGGAGAAGTAATATGTTTTTAAATAAATAAATATTTAGTTAAATAAATATTTAAATAAATTTACCAAGGAATACAAAACAGCAGTGACTTCGTTTAAAAATAAATACGAGACAGTAAAAAAATTCACAAGCAGTTAGCCACCAATTAGTTTGTAAAACTGAAAAACAAATAACAAAAAATGAAGATAGAATGAACTGAAACGCACGCGATTAACCAAACAAACAAATTGCAATGGCACCTACCTGTTAACAAAGTAAAAAACTTCGAAACCGCACTAGCTAATTTATATGATTGTTTGCTCAAACATATGCGGCCCTGTGTCAGGTTTCACTTTCAAAAAACCTACAAGGATTCGAATTTTCCAGTTCTGTTTCAGTGTTCACTTACTATAACTTCCGAAAAAAAACCTCATGAAAATTTTCGCCGATATTTAAATTTTTAAAACTTTAAAACTTTGATATTATTTTATGTGCAAATGATTTTGTATTGCGTTTTTCAGATTTGATAAAAATTGCTTAGTGTTGTGTTCTGAATTTCGTGCGTCATTTTTTTTTGTGGAAATTTTAAATCGACCTCGGAAATGTTTTTTTTTGTTTTTTTTTTTTTTGCAAAAGTAACTATAAAACTTTTTCAACACATTTGTTGTCGAAAACTTTCTATCACTGCAGACTGAAATTAAGAAATATGTTTGTTGTCCGCCAATGAATTATGCATTAATTTTATGGATAAAATGTATACTCAAAGGAAAGAGAAATTCCATAAAAAAAGAAAGACATTTTATAAAACTATAGCTTGGTAATAATTACATAAAAAATATCTACTTGTGCTTTACAATTTTAGGTAACCCTTAGTAAGTTTTATAGACAATAATCAACGTAGTCAGTAAAATATTACCTTGGAATGTGTAGTTTCTTTTGTACAAAAAAGTTAGCTTTTATGGATGAGTAGTTTTTAATAATTTAACTTTTACATTTCTTTCTATATATATATATAAATACTTTATTATATACTTATAAGCTCTTGTTTTATGAAACTTTAACTAATTCTGGTCTTTTATTTAATACAGCACCCCAAGTCCGCATCGCACGCCGCCACCTCAGCGCCAGGGAGTAATCCAGCGGCATAACACTGGCTCCAAGCCACCATCCCCGGCAGCTCCGCCACCGAGTCGGATGCACATAGCGCCACCGTATCAATATGCACCAGGTGAGCTCCTCAAATCCGCTAGCCAATCTGCTACAGTAACTAATAACCCCTATTCTTTTGGTTGCCAATTCATAGCTGGTCACGATGCCCTGGCCTCGTTTGTGGACGTGGCCGTGCAGCAGCCGCAGCTGCCGGTGCCCTCGCAGAAGGATGACAAGTCGCCCGGTGCTGGACCGCCGCCGGGACAAGTACCCGGACCCGGATCCGGACCACCACTTGGCCCCTCGTCCCTGCCGCCGCACGCTGTCGTGGGCGTGGCCCAGCCACCGCCGCCGACCGCTCACCACGATCAGCGGTATCGCGACATGGCCCTGCACCACCATCATAACATGGTGCAGCAGCAGTTGGTGCAGCAACAGCATTACCGCAGCCTCAATGTGGCGGCCCAGGTGGATATGCAGCGGCACATGGATCAGCAGAAGCGCGTGATGCGGCATCAGCATCAGCAACATCAGCAGCAGCATCAGGCCCAGCAGCAGCACAACCTCGAGCGGGATAGGGAGATACTGCGCGAACGGGATCGGGAGCGCGAGAGGGAACGCGAGCGAGAGCGTGAGCGGGAGCGGGATCGGGATCGTGAGCAGCGGGAACGGGAACGAGAAAGGGAGCGAGAGCGCGAGCGGGAACGGGAACGCCGCGAACAGGACCGTGAGCGGCGGGTGGTGGTCGAGGAACGGGAGCGGGACAATCGACGCATGGAGCGCATGTTCGCCGGCGGTGTGGTCACCGCGGCAGGCGGCGCTGGTGGCGGCGGCCCTTCTCCCAGCCACTTTTTACGAACTCCGGTGCCAGAGACTGGTCCACCACGCTCGATTCCAGATCGCGAACGAGACCCGTAAGTGTTCTATAACCACTTCCACTAAACTAACTTGGATGGGTCAAATGATGAACCTTAATGACAATTTTGTTAATTCTTTATAATTTTATTGCGATTCATCGGGAATTAAACAAATCTCATCCATATCTTAAGAGTGAATTTAAATGTTATAATTCAAGAGAATAACCATTGTTTTAAATCTCATTCGGAAAATATTATTTAAAAATATAGAAAAACTCCCAATAAGTAGTAAATATAAGCAATTCAATTTAATATGATTAATTTTGGTTACCAATTTTATTTTCAGTCAGCATTCAAGAAACTTATTTACCTTTTTATTTTTGGCTATTAAATTTCAACAAAATGTTAAATATATTTTATATTTATTTATATTTCACTAAAGTCAAAAACTAATCCCATTCCTTTCGCCCCTGCAGGTACTATCGTCCGGCACATGGTGGCCCCGCGCCAGAGGATGCGCCCGGACAACTGAGTGCCCAGAGTCTGATCGATGCCATCATCAAGCATGAGATCAGCCGCACCAACGAATCCACCGCAGGTCCGGGTCGCGAGTTTCCGCGTCCGACCTTCGGCCACGCCCCGCCGCCGCCACGCGGATCGGGATCTGGGGGCGGTGGCGGCACCCGATCCTCGCCAGCCAACGCGCTCCATCCGATGTACCTGCGCGACCATCGCCAGCCGCACGAGGGTGGAGCGGTGTCGCTGCTTACGGTGGAGAACAATGGCAAGCCCAGCTCGTCGGGTTCGCCCAGTGTGATTAACATTGATTTGGATCAGGAGCGGATTTCGGCGGCAGCCGCTGTAGTTGCCCAACAGCAACAACAACAGCAGCAGCAACAGCAGCAAGCTCCGCCGCCCTCATCCCAGTCGTCGCAGTCGAGATCGGTGCATGGTCAGCTGAGAACTCCAACCTCCCAGGCTGGCGGATCAGCTCCCAGTCCCCAGCAGACTCACACCAAGAGCATTACCTTTGGGGAACTAACTGACTCGATAATTACGAATGATTACGGTACGAATCCCCATCTGCGGCCCAGCGCACCCTTCATGGCCTATCTGCAGGAGGCGCAGTCCATCTTGCCCCCGGATCGCTGGAAGCAGAATCGTCGACTGCAGCAGAAGGCCGAGGAGGCCAAGCAGCACCATTCGCAGCAGCAACACCAGCAACAACACCAGCAGCAACAGCAACAACACCACGCCCAGCAACAGCAGCAACACCACGCCCAGCAGCAACAGCAGCAGCAGCATCATCCACAGATGCCGGGCAGTGGCTCCGGCTCAGCTCCGGGTGTTGCTGGCCAGGGCGGCGCACCAGGCGGCCCCGGAGGCGGAGGCAGTGGCGGCGGCAGGGCCAACACCCCCGGCGAGGATGGACGCAACATAATCCGTATGCCGCAGGCGGTCAGTCCGCGCAAGTTCACCCACGAGATGATGCTGCACCAGGTGATGGGAGCGGCGGCGGCGGGTGGTGAGCCGGGACATTACTTCTTGCCAGCACCGGTGGGTCGCGTGGGTGTGACTTTGACGCCGGAACAGAGAGGAGCGCATGGCGGAGGCAGTGGAGCTCCTGGCGCAGGTGGACCCGGATCCGGAGGCGGTGCCACCACCATTGACAACTATGTAAAGAACCGCATCGCCGAGGTGATGCGCGATGACATCAGCTATGTAAAGAACCGTACGGTGGAGGTGCGATCGGATGATGAGGTGGCCGCCGATCTGGTGGCCGCCCATTCGCACGCCGCCGTGCATGCCGCCCACGTGGCACACGTGGCCCATGTCGCCGCCGCCTTGGAGCTGCAACACAGGAGCAAGGAGCCGCCGCCGCCGGAGATCAGTGTGTCCCGCAAGACGCCCAACCAGTACGAGGTGGTGGATTCCAGTGGACGGCGCTCGGCGGGCAGTGGCTCCGTTTCGGTGTCCGTCTCGGGGGCCAACAGTCACCACTCGCCGTATCACCCACCGCCGGCGGCCTATGCCCCCAGCACCTACGCCTTCCCCTATAGCGCTCTGAACGTGCCCAGTGCCGCCGGTGGATTGCCGCCGCCACAGCCGCTGCAGCTGGCCGCCCACCAGGCTGTGGCACCGCCCGGCCACCTGAGTGCCAAGGCCAAGGTGGCGCACGCCCTCAGCGAACTGGGAGGAGGCGTTGCCGGGGTGTCCATGGTGGTCGGTGGCGGCGCAGTCGGAATCGGTGGCGGACCTGGTGGTGTGCCGGGCGGAGGCGGTGGACCGGGTGGCGGCGGACCGGGAGGCGGTGGCGGCGGCGGTGGACACAACAGCGGTGTATCGGCAGCAGCGGCTGCTGTGGCCGCTGCAGCTGCGGCCGCGGCGGCGGCCAGTGAACCGAAGCCACTGCTGTCGTCCAAGTACGACGCCCTCAGCGACGAAGATTAGTTGTGACTGCCGGCGTCGTCCTCGGCGTCGGCGTCGCACCTGCGGCCAGCAGCAATAGCAGTAGCAGCAACTCTACCGCCCGGCAGCAGCACGAGCGTGGTCTACGGCTATCCTGGCTACCGGCGACACTCCCAGCATCAACAGCAGCCACCACATCCGCATCTTGTCCAGCAGCAACAGTCGCCGCATCGCCAGCAGCAGCTCTACCAGACCACGGTGCTGCCCCCTCCGTTGCAATCCCAGCAGCAACTCCAGCAACAACAGCAGCAACTTCACCAGCAGCAGCAGCAGCAGAGGAGCCTCTACTATGCCAGTGAGCATTATCCGGGAGGCAACGGGGGCAGTTCTGCCGGCGGCAATCCGGGCTACTACTGACAGCAACACTAATTGCAGCAGCAGCTGCAACATCAGCAACAGCAACACTTATTGCAGCAGCGTATGTAGGTTATCCCACTAAGCACACGCGATTGAAACACCAAGTTGTTGGACAACAAGTCAATATAAGCAAACAAAAAATGTCAAAGAAACAAAAACGAAAAAAAGGCTTTAACAGAAACCAACATAAAAAGAGGAGGCGAAACCAGCAGGAAATCGAAAGAGAGGAGATAATGTGAGACGGCAGGCAGACTTGACAACAACTAGTTACAGACAGTTGTGTTCAATAAGAGCTTTTAATACATTTTCAAAAACAGTGCAATTAAACTGATGTGTCTGCAAGCGATAGCAGATTTATTTAGAAATGTTTCCTTTTAAACTATGTCAAAGAAATTATTATAAAAAAGAATTTGGAATTGTAAATAATGTAAGCGAAAGCTGAATAATAAGATAATTAACTCATTTCACTTTGATGGATTTAAAGTAAAGCTCAACCACCTGTTTCCTCTCGAATCTTGAGACACACACACATAGCTCTTTAAGAATTCGTGTCCTTTCTGTATATGTACTCGTGTTATTAGTGTGGGCGTGTGTGTCTTTGCCCTGGTTCTTTTGTAGCATCACTTGACGTTACCTCCTCCTCACACAGCTCTAACCTCAGCACCCCGAGTCGAAACGTAATGAAAATGGTAGTGACAACAATATAGATATATACAAAACCAGAAATCACACCACACACATATATATACAATACACTTATGAGTATAAGGAGTAAACAAAATAATAAAAACACACTGTTGGGCTGTTCTTAGAAAAAAAAAAACAAAAAACCTAAACGAAAGAAAACAATTAAAACAAGCAAATAATTATATATATTACCTATAGAACTCTTTAAAAATTATTTAAACGACTTTTTGTAAATTTCATAAAAACTGCGCATAATTTTAATGAGCATCATTTAATCAATCTTATCGATACATTTACTACTACTATTATACTTTTTTTTTTCTTTTGCTATTTTTATACGCAAGACCTAATTTATGGAGCATTATTGTGTTTTATTCTCTTCTTAAGCAAATGCTATTGAATTATGTACGTTTAATTGATAAGCTAATGAAAGTTTCGATGTAAGTAAAATAAAAGTAAGCCCAATACATATAAATATATATGGGATATACATACGCATATTTTTTTATATAACACTTATGTCTTACGAAACAGTTTTAGTGTTTAGCTACTTTACTGTTTAATTCGTTTTTTTTTTAACTTATTTTTTTTATATGCAAACGCAAAACAAACGTGAGAAACCAATTGAAAAGCGTGAAAACAAAAAAATTAAATATTTTTAATACATAATGAAACTAAAAACGAAACAAAATCTATATAGTAAATATATATATAAAGTAAACAACAAACGCTAAGACTTATTCAACAAAAAAAATTGTAAAATATTAAAAGATAAACAAACGATATATATATATATGTAAAAGCTAACGATGCAGATAAATGATAGATATTCGCAACCGTAAACCGAAAAAAGCGGAAACGGATATGGAAAACCCGAAATGCAACTCTGACCGAGCAGCGCGCAGCAACGTTTTAGTTAAGAGCAGGAAGCGTATTTTTTTTTTATGAATATATATATATAAATTAAAATAAAATAAAGAAACAAATTCTATATATACAGAAAATTTTACAAAATATATATATATATATATATATATACGATAATAAATGTATGTAAAACGGCAGCATAATAACTAACGGAATAAACAGCGCCAGAGGTTCGAGCAGAAGGGTCGGGATGGGGCGATAGCGGCCGGGACTGGACGGACGGACTCGCGGACATGGACTCGAGGAGCCGCCTAAACAACGAAACAGCTTGCGTCGCCCCCGCCCGATCACCGATCGGCGGTCCTCGATAGAGAGCACTTTCTACACATATAAATATATAAATGAATACTGTATGAATAACCGAATTTTATAGCTGGGCGAATTACAAAAACGCCGGCTGAATGGATGTTAAACAAAAGAAAGTGTATGCACAAGGCGTGCCCTGAAAATGATTTAAGCAAATCACAAAACAAAACAAATTCAAAATTCGCTATATTGAAGGACATTTTAGTGTTTGATTTTACAGTTTATTTTTTCTCTGTTTGTATCAATTCAAAATCGATATAGTTGTATGGAAATCGATAAAAAAAAAAAAATATTACGATTTAGGCGGTCTTTGAGTGCATAATAATAACAATAAACACAAATTATGAATGGAGATAACAAGAGCGAGGAGAGAAAAGTAAACAACAATATTATGTGGAGTATATGCATGTAATGTGCGCCGAGTCGAAGAGCTAGAGCTGATTATGATCGATACATGATAATGATGTTTAGCACTTAAGTTTTAGTTGTAACTTTATGCCTTAAGTTGTAAGCTTAAAAATAATAATATAAAATTAAATACAACATATTAAAAAGCAAACAAAACAAAATAAAAATAAAAACAAATACAAAAAAATAAAACAAAAGAAATGTATAACAAAATGTTCTCGTTTTTTTCTGTGCCTTGTCAGGTTTAATCAAAACCCTGGTAAATAAAGTTCGGATGTTGGAATAGCATACCTCGTTGAATTCGTTACAAAATTTCCAACAAAGTGGCGTTTACAGAAAAAAAAATAATTAAAAAAATTTTTTCGGAAAGAAAATCATTATACCCCTTATGAAAAATATTTCGGCCAAAATCCAGAAAAAATCAGCTCGACTTTTCAGTTTTTTAATCAAAACCCTTGGAAATAATGGTCAGATCTTGGAATGTCATACCTCGTTGAGTTCGTTACTAAATTTCCAATCGAGTGGTATACTCAGCTCAAAAATTTTATTTTTGGCCATATTTGGAAAAAAATCAAGTGTTACCCCTTATCAAAAATGCGAAAATCGGTCAAAAAATTAAATTTACTAAAACCTCCTGGAATCGATTGTATAGGTTGTCAGCTACACAGAACAGTCATTCTTTTCGCGGTGCGTCTTATTTTGGCAAAGCTACAACGAAAAGACCCCTAAAAAATGCGTTTTAAATATATGTTTTTAATAGCCAAAATCCAAAAAAAAAGTTCATTTTTTCAGTTTTTTTATCAAAACCCTTGGAAATAATGGTCAGATCTTGGAATGTCATACCTCGTTGAATTCGTTACTAAATTTCCAATCGAATGGTATACTCAGCTCAAAAATTTATTTTTTGGCCATATTTGGAAAAAAATCAAGTGTTACCCCTCATCAAAAATGCGAAAATCGGTCAAAAAATGAAATTTACTAAAACCTCCTGGAATCGATTGTATAGGTTGTCAGCTACACAGAACAGTCATTGTTTTCGCTGTGCTTCTTATTTTGGCAAAGCTACAACGAAAAAACCCCTAAAAAATGAGTTTTAAATATATGTTTTTAATAGCCAAAATCCACAAAAAAAAAGCTCATATTTCCAGTTTTTTAATTAAAACCTTTGGAAATAATGGTCAGATCTTGGAATGTCATACCTCGTTGAATTCGTTACTAAATTTCCATTCGAATGGTATACTCAGCTCAAAAATTTATTTTTTGGCCATATTTGGAAAAAAATCAAGTGTTACCCCTTATCAAAAATGCGAAAATCGGTCAAAAAATGAAATTTAATAAAACCTCCTGGAATCGATTGTATAGGTTGTCAGCTACACAGAACAGTCATTCTTTTGGCTGTGCGTCTTATTTTGGCAAAGCTACAACGAAAAAACCCCTAAAAAATGCGTTTTAAATATAAGTTTTTAACAGCCAAAATCCAAAAAAAAAGTTCGTTTTTTCAGTTTTTTTTATCAAAACCCTTGGAAATAATGGTCAGATCTTGGAATGTCATACCTCGTTGAATTCGTTACTAAATTTCCAATCGAATGGTATACTCAGCTCAAAAATTTTATTTTTGGCCATATTTGGAAAAAAATCAAGTGGTAACACCCTTATCAAAAGTGCGAAAATCGGTCAAAAAATGAAATTTACTAAAACCTCCTGGAATCGATTGTATAGGTTGTCAGCTACACAGAACAGTCATTCTTTTCGCTGTGCGTGTTATTTTGGCAAAGCTACAACGAAAAGACCCCTAAAAAATGCGTTTTAAATATATGTTTTTAATAGCCAAAATCCAAAAAAAAAAGTTCATTTTTTCAGTTTTTTTTATCAAAACCCTTGGAAATAATGGTCAGATCTTGGAATGTCATACCTCGTTGAATTCGTTACTAAATTTCCATTCGAATGGTATACTCAGCTCAAAAATTTATTTTTTGGCCATATTTGGAAAAAAATCAAGTGTTACTTACCCCTTATCAAAAATGCGAAAATCGGTCAAAAAATTAAATTTACTAAAACCTCCTGGAATCGATTGCGTAGGTTGTCAGCTACACAGAACAGTCATTCTTTTCGCTGTGCGTCTTATTTTGGCAAAGCTACAACGAAAAGACCCCTAAAAAATGCGTTTTAAATATATGTTTTTAATAGCCAAAATCCAAAAAAAAAGTTCATTTTTTCAGTTTTTTTATCAAAACCCTTGGAAATAATGGTCAGATCTTGGAATGTCATACCTCGTTGAATTCGTTACTAAATTTCCAATCGAATGGTATACTCAGCTCAAAAATTTATTTTTTGGCCATATTTGGAAAAAAATCAAGTGTTACCCCTTATCAAAAATGCAAAAATCGGTCAAAAAATGAAATTTACCAAAACCTCCTGGAATCGATTGTATAGGTTGTCAGCTACACAGAACAGTCATTCTTTTCGCTGTGCGTCTTATTTTGGCAAAGCTACAACGAAAAGACCCCTAAAAAATGCGTTTTAAATATATGTTTTTAATAGCCAAAATCCAAAAAAAAAGTTCATTTTTTCAGTTTTTTTATCAAAACCCTTGGAAATAATGGTCAGATCTTGGAATGTCATACCTCGTTGAATTCGTTACTAAATTTCCAATCGAATGGTATACTCAGCTCAAAAATTTATTTTTTGGCCATATTTGGAAAAAAATCAAGTGTTACCCCTCATCAAAAATGCGAAAATCGGTCAAAAAATGAAATTTACTAAAACCTCCTGGAATCGATTGTGTTGGTTGTCAGCTACACAGAACAGTCATTATTTTCGCTGTGCGTCTTATTTTGGCAAAGCTACAACAAAATCCATAGAAAAACAGCTCGTTTTTTTAGTTTTTTATCGCTCAAAAAATAAAATTTACCAAGTCAACCTGGACTTGATTGTATAGGTTCTCTTGTTACGTTCACAAAAAATGTACTAGTTTTGTGTAGTTTTTAGTAAGTCAAACTTCATCAAAATATATTACTGTTTTAATAGTAAAAATAATATCTTTTATAGTTTATATGGTAGTTTAAGGACACAAAATTAAATCTCCCGCCTAAAAGCCCAAAAATGCAATCCCAATTAAAACAATTTTATATTTT